TTCAATGAATTGAATTACTTAAAAGCTAGAACAGTAGGAAATCAAAGATTGAATAGAGTTATTCGAACAATCATTATTCGATTTGAATATGAATATTCGCACACCCCTACACGCACGACTTGTAATTACGCTGCCGCACCTCTGCCGGGATCATTGAATATAGAATGATATATGGAGTTCCCAGAGTGACACTACAAATGGGAGGCAAACCAAAAATAACAGACTGCAAGTAAAACAGCAAGACGAACGTTAAGTCCAATTATGAACAGTCACCATCTGGCCCACTATTTAAGCATCATTGCGGTAACACTTCCACTGAAAGATGGGTTAAGCACCCTGCACTTTCTAGCAAAGACAGGCAGACATAGAGAAGAGCGACGAGTCTATTGCACAACCACTTCCTCGACATGGTGACAGTAAAAGACAGAACCAGCCAGCTCGAGTTCTGCAGACAGAATCAGATGTGCAGACTTGGCCAAGATATATGACGCCATCCCATTTGCTTTAGTAAGGACACAGCAGAAAGAATTTTTGCACAGAAGAGCCGACTCGACCACCAAAGGGGGCATCGTCTCAAGGCCCAAAATTTGTCATTTACCGCATCTTTTTTCGAGACGCTGGACCCACTACAAATACCCATGTCCGCCACCTAGTAACGGCTGTGGCATATTTTGGACGTGGACTCACGGCGCACCTTAGACACGGAAGCATTTGGAGGGCGCATTAGTTTTGGGGTTGGGCTAAATGGAAGCGATCCCCCAAACATGGACATTATAGTTTTTTTGTTTCATTTTGTGTAGAGGGTCTATGCAGGTAGAAATTGAGGGAGGAGGAGATGAGAGCTTCAGGGGGCGTCGAATGCCGCGCTCTGGTTGGAATGATCGGTGGGTAGACACAAAGCTAGCTGCCCTTGTCTCTATTCATCGGCATCCGAACACGTTCAAATGCCGATGCCCACTGATCGTTCCAAGCAGAGCCCGGTGCTTCAATGTACCCTCTGCTTTTACCTCTCCCTCAGCTTCTACCCAGATGGAAAGGAAGATGGCCCTACAAGGCTTACTAAAATAGACATAGATAAGCAAGAAAAAGTTCAGAGGCGGGCAGTTAGATTTACACACCTGCCCTAAATTTATAAAAAAAACTCACCTGTGCCAAACGATATTCCTTCAGCTGGATTGGGTATTTGCACCCTTGTCATCGGCATCACTAACTGTTCCACAACAAAACTGGCAACAAGTGTGTAGAACCTTTAGCTGCCCCTTCCCCCCTGTGATGATAGCTTTCCTTGACATAAAAGCACTATGCCCCACGTTCCTTTAGGAAGTTCAAACTCAAAACTTGAACCGTGGCTTTTGTCGTGACCCGGAATCACAATGACCAGTTGTCCCGAAGAAAACTTGACAAGATAAACGGTGAACCTTCTTTTGTCAATACTGCGGATATGAAAGGAAACTGGAGAGGCCTCTCCTCAGGACCATTGACCCTGTGTTCTGGCCAAGCTTATTTATAAAATACCGTTTCTTTCACCATCGAAATTCAGATTTTTTCGGATAGATCCGAATCTACAAAAATTTTTAGCGGCGAGTCTTTTTCAGAATTTATTGAATTTATCCGAAAACATGGAACACTACTTAGAGCATAAACCAGTGTTGCCGTACCTCAAAGGCAGAGACCGACCTCACAATGTCTGAACACGAACGTCCAATTGTTCTATTTCTGGGTGAAAAATAAAATGAATTGCCATCATCTCGCTTGCCATGAACCTGCTTCTTGCAGCGTCATGTTACCCTTGCACATGGTATATCAATAACACACAGCCTAGTGCTGCATCGTCCACATGCCATGCACAAATGAAAAAAAAAATACTTGAGAGAGCTTGCTTGACACAGTGCTCAACACTGGCCACACACTTTTAGTGTCTGCGTTGGACAGACTTCAAGAGACGTGCCGCTGGTTAGCGTACAAAGTTTCTGCACGAGACTGTGGAGGCGTCTGAACAAGGGGGGCAGGAAGGGCTATAACCCCCAAAAATATTAAAACATTTAATTAACAATACGAGGCGTAAGGCAGAAATTCACAAGAGAGCGACAGAAAAGTGTAAGAAGAAACCACACAATATGTTGGGCATGTTTGTTTTGCCGCGACAACTTTAAGTTGTTCAAGAGCTTGTGAACTTCCATTTCTTGTTGTACATTGCGGGACGTCGGTGTTTTTCGCTAAGTAAGTAAAATCGGCACGGAATGAAACCCGAACGCCGGAACACGTGGCCGTTGATACAGGCTGCTCCACCTAGAGGGCCCGAGAACTAATGAAAATGCGCCGGGGTGCGAGGGTGCGGGTCCTACGAAGGTGAGCTCGACCCTCGCGCGTCGCGTCTGGGAGTTCCGCGTTTTGCCGGTGGCGCGCTGTAAGCGCCGTCACATCCGATACAAAAAGCACTGTCACTCGCTTTGTGTATTGAATTCCCAGCGATATCTCTTCAGAGCTGTCACTCATTATCGCTTTGTGTATCGCAAGGGCGAAATGAAAGGTGAAACATTTCGTGCACGGAAGACCCGTAGTGCTTGATGACGTGTCACCGGAACATCTTGCCACGCGAGGTTTCTGAGAAATAGTGAAACGTCATAAACGTGAAATAAAATTAGTTTGTTCGCATGACCATACTCTTTATGAAAAAAAAATACTACAACAGCCTGACGCGGATGCCTCGGTTTTTATGAGCAATGCGCATGCTTTCGTGCGAAGTTATCAGTCGATTCTTAAAAAGCGAGGAATTGCTTGTTGACACTTTCTTCGGTAACCACCGATATGCCAGGCGTATCAATTCCGGAGCGGAATAAATTCACCACCCTGTCTGGGCAGGACCTATCGCAAAGAGCTATAGCCAGGTTAAGCGGCCGCCCAGTGTCGAATGGGCGACATGGGGAGACAGTGTGGCGACACGAAAACACCCCGAGTGACGGCGCTTACAGCGCGCTACCGGCGAAACGCGTAAGTCCCAGACGCGCCGCGCGAAGGTCGAGCACATTTTAGCAGGACCCGCACCCTCAAACCCCGGGCGCATTTTCATTAGTTCTCAGGGGCCCACCAGGTGGAGCAGCCTGTCTCGATGGCCACGCGTTCCGGCGTTCGGGTTTCATTCCGTGCCGATTGTACAGATAATAAAGGTAGAAAAACAATAAGTGCAGACCTTGAAAGTGATGTTTTCCTGCTTCTTTGTGTATACTGAAGCATCGCCAGCGACATGGGCCCACAAATGGAACTTCCGATGTCCGCCTCGCCGTTCCGCTGATAACGACGGCCACTGTTGATGCTTGAACGTGCAACCGTACAGCCCAATGCTCACACAGCCAAGCAGAATGACGCTAGGTTGACACTGTTTGGTACAAGAGCCTCCTTGACAGCACTAGCGAGATGGCAATAGACCCTTTCCGAAATCCAGTCTGGCCACTTTGATCACTATCATCTGTGGAACGGCATCTGTGCCGTTCCACAGATTGTTTATCAGTCACTAGAAGGCCAATGGCGGCCTTCTAGTGACTGATAAACAACCTCCTTGCTGATAAAGGAAGACGTTGAAGATGCTCCAAAGCGGATGATGAGAGGCCTGTACGTTCGGGAGGCTCGTACGACGTGACGTATGAATGGAACACAAGAGCTACGTAAGTGTTCATTTCTAATAACTCAGATTCGGTCAATCTGTGCAGCACACAATCGGCTTTAAAGCCCTTTGGTGTATAGAATGTTCTCGAGGCATCGGTGTGGGTTGTAGCTTTGTTCCGACTGCAGGTTCTTGGTCACCATCGAACTGAAAGTGATGGAGAAAGAACTCACATTGAACAATTCTTTGCGTGCCGTTGACTTGCGAAAGTGACGGTGCCGATACCATTTCATTTCCGCCATTGATTAGGCAAAACATAAACTGCTATACGAACCACCAGATGGCACTGAATTTAGGAAAGGGTCTATTTGGTAAGGCAGCATGGCGAACGGCCATTCCTGAACGCAATTTTGGCGACGAAGGTGCGAGCTATGTATACTCATAATTGGCCATAAATACAAAGTAGTACAGAGAAAGTAGGCATACTATTCGCTCTTTCCCGAGTGCGCGAACAGCCTTCAAACGTGTCCGGTCCCGAACTAAACGACGGGTTAATTCACTCTAATGGTAAAATCTGCCGAGTAAAAAAATGAGGAATTATACACGAACCGGAAGTGTGTCGGGGCCACCCGCTAGAAGGCGCCATCAAGTTTGTTGCTAAACAAAAAAGGGGCAAATAGTCGCTGACAAAGTGAGAAGGGTTTGGAGGGAGTTGTACCGCCTCCAGCGCGAGTTTCTCTGCCTTCGACGACGCAATTTGGCATTTGGACTGGAACGCGTGCGGGGGTACGGGCCTTCTCGCCGTTCTTGCTATGTCAGTGACTATAATTTAGGCTGCAATATGCAAAAAGGATGCTGGATTTCCCTAAGGGACGGCTGTTAAACGGTCGGTTGTAGTAGCGTCAGAGGGCATTTGAATGCTGGGTAGGTGCGCCGTCGGTCAACGCTCTATTGCGAAAGATAAAAAAAAGAAAACAATTAAAAACGACGCGATCGATCGACAGACTTGAGTAGCCTCTGACAACGGAGCTCAAGCGGAAAACACACCACTATGTCACTGACCCGAGACTGGGGCACGGCGAAATGGAATTTAAAGCGGTAGAGAAAAAGAAAATAGAAGGACAGCCTACGTTTAGAAATGTTGTCTGTCCCACTTTTTTTTACTCCCGTTTTCTGCCACCTTGAATTTTCGTTTCCGTGCTCTAGTTTCAGGTTAATTGTCGTGGTAAACTTCCACCAGCTTGCCTCCGCACTAACCGTGCTGTACTTCAAACGAAACACACGTCGGTTGTGGCCCGCGTCCGAAGGCCCCGCGCTCAAGCTTGCTGGGAGAGCCCAGACAAAATGTAAGCTCGCCCCGAGAAAGCTTGCCTGCTGTCCAACTCACCTGCGTACTCACCAGTTGTGTGACTTTGAGCTGCTTTGCTTTAACAAACCGAGAGCATAGAGAGCTGCGCGGCTGACTTGCTGAAAGCTTTGGAATCGCTACAGCGTACGAAAAATTAATTGGCCGCTAGCCAGCCAACTGGATCGGATTGGATTTCCGCCTTGCTACTCTTGTTAACCCAGTGGACGTTATTTCAAAATCAATCGTACTCATCTGCGCTTCCTAATAAGGTCGTTTAGTTGGTCGACTAATATTCTATGAATAGCTTATACAGTGTGCTGACAATAAAATACAAAAGGCTGCTTTGTCAAAATCACTTTGTAGTTTCGGTTTCGGAATAACGTCAGCGCCCAAACCGGAATCGCCCTGAAACCAGCACAGTGCACAGCGCTCCTCGGTCGTGCAGCGCGATGTCGGTGCAACATCGAGGACCACTGTCGAGGACAAACTGCGCCGCGCCGGTGCACCGCGGCGAGCTCCACCTTGCGTCACTTCGCGTTTTGTTCGTTTTTTCTTGCGTAGGTCAGCGCACGATGCCCGTCTGCTGTCAATTGCTTTTATTTCTTTACTCGCGGATTTGACGGTCCCACAGAAATAAACATCGTGGACGTGATTGTCGATGGGTTCACGAAGCGGGTGACAATTCCACATGTATATGTTGGCCATCATTATTGGTTCAAGAAAACGAAACGCCAGATAATACGGATAATACCGTACCTCGCTGTCATCGAAACGCCTCGCGCCGCTTTCCACGAAGTTCGTGCTTTTCGGGCGCTCCTTGCCACCGCAGCAATCGCCAGTAATCGCGGCGATGGTGAGAAGCTCGTCGTCTCGCCGTCAGAAGACCCGAGGAAATCATCTAGTGCAGCTGCAAGGCGTGTTCGTTTTTGCAAGATCGCCATCTCGACAGTCTGCGCGTCTGCTACTCCCGCCATCTTCTCGATTCCCGCTCCCGGCCGCAATGCCTGATGGGACTGCACCCCGGCGCACCGCCGATTTTCTTGGTGCACGTTGGGGCAACGAAAAGCCGCACCGGGAGGGTGCGCTTCGTTGATCGAGGACGTACGGTGCGCACCGGTGCACTTGATCGAAGATGAAGGGGCGCACCTCAGTGCCCCGGTGCGCACCGGTGCGGATGATCGAGGAGAGAGAGAGAAGTGTTGAAAGGAAAGGAAGCCGGGAAATGATCGAGGATGCTATTAGGCGCAACTGACAGCAATGCTCGCTCTCTCTCCACTTTAGCAGAGCGAACGCTGAAGGGGAGGTCGCCTCCTCTCCAGCGTTCGCTCTGCGCTGGAGAGGAGGCGACCGTTGGGCGACCTCCCCTTCAACTTTAATACTCTTAGCCTGTCCCCGACCGACCAATCAGCCGCCTCCCTCTTATCATTTGACCCGGCTCTCCGCGCGTGGATATTCGCGATGGATGGATGGATGGATGAATACGGCTGAGCCCTTTGGATCGGGCGGTAGCTTACGCCACCTAGCCATTTTGTTTTACCATTTAAGCTTAGAATATTTAAATGTGAAATCTATATTCACTCCGCAGTGCAAAGAAAGTGAGGCTATGAAACCCCCTTGCCATCAGTGAATAAGAAAATACCTAGTTTTCTCTCGATTTCTGCCACCATTCACTTAATCTTTGCTTGGTAATCTCTACAGTCTTGAAATCCACTCTCCCTTCGCTGTCTCTAAAACCCAATGACTTTATTAAATCTATGTTGTCTTCGGTAGGCATATGGTGAAGCCCTTTACAGTAGAGTATCAAGTGCTCAGCCGTCTCGTCCTCCTCTCCACAAGCAGTGCACACTGTATCCATTTCCTGGTACTTCACTCTGTATGTTCTGGTGCGCAGAACACCCGTTCTTGCCTCAAACAGCAATGAGCTTCCCCTAGAATTGTCATAAATGCTTTCTTTGGCAATAACTCTTTTGTTTAATCTATAGCTTTCCAGAGCCGTCTTTGTCTGCATTCCCTCTAGCCACCGATCTCTTTCTGTGGCCTTAACTTTCTTCTTAACTGAGACTTGCTCTTCCGTATCTTCGCTATAGCCCAAAAACTTTCCTCTTAATTTCCTAGTGCGCTGTCTCCACTTTGTGTCTACACTCCTCATGTATAAATAGCTGAAAACCTTTCGTGCCCATTGCTCCCCGTCCATTTGCCTCAACCTATCCTCAAATTCTACCTTGCTCACCGCTTCCCTGCTCTCAAATGATGCCCATCCCATGTCTCCTTGTACTCCCTGGTTTGGCGTTTTGCAATGTGCCCCCAAAGCCAGTCTACCTACTCCGCGCTGTTTTATTTCTAGTCTCGCATGCACTTCGGATTTCATGCATAGCACTGCGTTTCCAAAAGTCAAGCCAGGCACCATGACCCCTTTCCAAATCTCTCTCACCACCTCATACCTGTTGTAATTCCAAAGTGCTCTATTTTTCATTACAGCTGCATTTCTGTTGCCCTTACCTACTATATACTTTTCATGGTCTCCGAGATATTCTGCACCATCACATATCCATACTCCTAGATACTTGTATTTACTAGCTCTCTCAACTGTAATATTCTGTATCTTCAGCCTCTCAACTTCATCCTCGTTAAAAATCATGACTGCCGATTTTTCGCTACTGAATTCTAAACCTACTTCCTCTCCTTCCCTACCACAGATGCTCATTAATTCCTGCAACTCTGTCCTGTTGTTAGCCATTAGTACAATATCATCCGCATACATCAATCCCGGTAAGGATTGCTGAATTTTTTGGCCTAGCTTACTGTAAGAAAGGTTGAACCCAAGCCCACTCTTCTCTAGTCTATCCTCCAATCCTCTCAGATACAACATAAACAGCAAAGGCGATAACGGGCACCCCTGCCTAAGGCCTCGTCTTATCTCTATTTTCCCTGTCGCCTTTCCTTCCCATGTTATAATCACCTTGTTATCTTTGTAAATGTTCCTTAATAGTGCTGTTAGTCCTTCATCTAGGTTTAAGTTCTCCATTATGTCCCACAGGTTTCTTTGGTTCACATTGTCATAGGCACCCTTGATATCCAGAAATGCCAGCCAGAGCTGTCTGTTTTCTTTTTGCGCTATTTCTATACACTGTGTTAGAGAAAATAAATTGTCCTCCAACCTTCTTTGTTTTCGAAACCCGTTCTGTAACTCGCCCAGTATGCCCTCGCAATCTACCCATTCCTCCAGTCTGTTCTTTATAATCTGCATTACCAACCTGTAAATAACCGGTGTCACGGTTATAGGACGATAATTCCTAATATCAGACTTATCTCCCTTTCCCTTATATATCATACTCATCCTACTAAGCCTCCATTCATCTGGAATATTTCCTTTTGTTATCATGGTACTCACTACCTCCAGCAAAACGGACGCCACCAAGCGGGAAAACCGGGAACCAGCCGGACCAGGTCGCTCCGCGCCCCTCCGTGTCTCTGGCGGCTTTCGCGGACACCTGTTGTCGGCGCGGTGGCGAACAATGCATTTTCACGAAGGTCCGAAAATTTGTTAAGTTTGTCTGAGTGTTCATTAGTGTGGTGAAGCCTCAGTAAATTGTTTCCTTCCATCACGTGTTTGAAAGCCCGTTTACTCCACAACACACGGTCGCGTGCTTTCGATTTCTTGGATGGGGAAGAATCACGGAAAAACGTTTTGATTTCTTGTCTGTCTCTAATCACATTCAAAGTGACGACTGTTTGGTAACTGACAAGTGGTTTCTTTAGAAGGATGTAGAACAGCGGACTGAGGACGACAGACGAGACATTTCACTGGAGGGAACACAAATTTTGCAGTCAAGTGAATGGGAACGTTCGATAGCTGCTTTTCTTGAGTTTGGTTGTGTTCGGTTAGCTTCAAGTTTGAGCCACCCACGCCGGTCGGTGCGTTGGCTATTCATCTTGGCCGCTTTTCGCCGAAAAAGCCTCTGGACCACACTGAAGGAGTTGGGCTGATTTCGCAATTACTTGATTCAGGAAAACCTGCTCGCTGCAAATGATGAATGAGGGAAAGTATCCGTTTTCAGAAGGTGGGGGACGAGCTTCGCAACGTTAGAAGCTGTCACGGCATTTTGATCTATTGCGCCTCCAATATTTATATTATACCCCCGTCGAAGCCAGCAGCAATATACGTCTACATTTCTCAGGTTGACCGGCCACAAAAAATACTCATTTTCTCCGTTCCGGATTCGAAGCAAAGTTCAATGCAGAGAGGTTCTGCGTGGATCTCCGATGAAGACTCTCTTCAGTTTGTCTCCGTGCTGCCGGCTAGCACCATTTGGCTAAGTTTAAGTAGTATCTCTCTGTCCTGTCAAATATACTTTTATTCAGCAGTTCACCTAATAGCTAGTCAACTAAGCTCATATTTCAATCCGAAGAATATACTAATATCGCTTTAGTGGGACATAGTACATAATATAATACATAACCCGCTCGTCAAAACGACTTCTCGATTGCTACTAAAACCTGAATTGAAATAGGAGTATCAGCTGCTTAGTGGGGCGCCGGCGGGTTAACATGGTCCTTGGCTCAAGAAGCGCTTGCTTAATTTTCGTTATTTTCCTGCAGCCTGTGTTGTTGACAGAGCAGACGACTGGAGCAGTTTCTTAAACGCGGATACGCACAAAAGCTCGATTTTGCGGACAGATAGGTCGCATGGTCGAGGCATGCGATTTAGCTGAAAATTACTCTCAGTGGAACAATTCTGTAGTCATCGCCGCTTTCCTTAGATGATCAAAACTGATTAGTATATTAACGTCTCTCCAAAGCCCATAGTTTCGGTTTTGAATGAAATCACCGAAACGAAAGTTTGACTAGAAAAAAACAAAAAACACCCGGAAAACAAAACTATGTTTTGCAAGTTCATGTGCACCGGCTACACTTAACCGCCTCAGTTCAAATACCTATAAAATTGGGCGTTAAACAAAAGAAAACATGTTAAATTGAACGCGCCACCTGTTCAGGCGGCCCGGCCGAGCCGACGCGACCTGGACTCAGCCGCCATTTGCCGGGAGCGTGATGACATGGGAGAGAGAGGCGTATGACTCG